CCTTTATTTACGTCTGTTGTTGCTCGGCAACCACTTTGTTGTAACCACAACCGTTTCTGAGGAACTACGAAGTTTGGCGGAAGAATAATGTTTTTATTAATATCATTACATTTTATTTGCTTTGTTTTACTCTGTGAAACCTCGCTACATATATGGTATAACCGCTTTATAAAAGCAATAAGCCCCATGAAGCCATGGTTTACAGTGAATTTATGCATGACGCGAAGCAGAAGCGGCTTCTTGGGGCTTATTGCTTTATTCTATTCCATCAAAGAATCCTTGTGGAAAAAATGTATCACTAAATATTAAGCAGCTGTTTTAAACTGTGGTAAAATAAGAAATGTTACTTGAGCACCAAATCAGCATATTTGAATGATTTTTGCCAGTACAGGAATAAATTAAATTATAAAATACATTTATAATTTTTTTTGCAATTTAATAATACTTCACAATATTAGTTGTACTGTATTTGTATTTTGATCAAATAAATCCAGCCTTTGAGAACGTGAGACTTTCAACAATAAAAAAAAAAAAAAAATCTTACCTGGCCCAAACTTTTGAACATTAGTGTACAAAAATTAAAATAAAAAATGCTTGTAAAAATCATCTTTAGTGAGCTTCAGCCCATGAATTTAAGTCTATAATATCTAGATACTAGTGTAGTACTTCAAGTTATCTTTGATGTTCATTTTAACTCTTGCCAACTTCTATCAGATCATGTCTGCACGTAAAATTGCTTTTCTCTAAAATAGCATTTCAGAAATATTTATTAATCTGCACAAAAATATTCATTTTGTCCAGTTGGTAGCTTTTTATTACATACTTTTATTTCCTTTTCAATGTAACTAAAATGGTTATTCTGTTTGCTTGGACAAGCAGCAAATTGTTGGCTGGTGGATATTATTTACATTTAAAGACTACTGCCTTAAAATTAACTCCAATAAACTACTGTTATTGGAGTCCTTAATGTTGGAGAAATTAGCTTTTCATTTGAAAATAAAAAATGTACCGGTATTATTTGCCTCAGGATTTTGTAATATAGACGCTCAACTTGCAAGCTTTAAGTCCAGTTCCACGCAAATGACAGATGGCCAAAACATTTACTATTAATATGAATTGATATAATGTCTTTGTTGTTTTGGTGTATTGCTGTGCTAACCTTTGTGCTCTCTGTCCACAGGTGGAGAAACATTTTCGAGATATGGAGAGCCAAAAATCAGTGCAGCATTCACAGCAAGCTCAACAAACACAGAAAGACTCTGCTTTATCATCATGAGCCCAGGCTCAGAGAGGGAACATTATGCTGACAAAGGAAGTGTTGTGTGTTTTAAATTAATATTTTCTGGGGTTTTTTTGTGTTTTTTTACCAATCGCCAGACAAAGGTTGAGATAGTTGATACTCAGCGTTTTGAGCAGGGATGACAGTCCTACACATCTGAAGAGAAAAACTGCTTCCACTGACAAAAGTAGAGTGCTGTCTTAGACTATCATGTCATGTAGAAAACATTTGACATCCCTTCCAACATCACTCACCCCCCAATCCCACCCTGTTGGATCTCCTTGTTTTTTTCCCTCCTGTCATCAAATAACCCACTTGTTCATTTCATCTTGCTTGGATAGCCAACAAAGAAATCACATTTTCTCTTCTAATCCATAATCTTCCTTTCTACCACTATAAAATGTGGCACTAAGTGTGTGAGGGTAGAATAAAAAGTTATTAAGCCTTTCAGACTAGATAAATAGTTTGATTTCCTTAGTGCACATGGCGGGTTTATTTTTTGTTTTTAGTTTTAGATTGACTGAGAGCTGAAGGTGGAGTAAGGGGAAATTGAACTGCACTTAGCATCTACCCAACATCTCATTTTCTTAAACATTTTTTAATATAAAACTCCCTTGTTTTACTTTTAAATGTCACTTTTTAAGTGACAGACGAAGGAGTAACACTCGAGTACTGTAAGCATCCTTTCAGTTTACGTGTAATATATTATGTTGTAATTTTCTTCCATATTTGGTCCTTGCCATTTTGAATACCTCTTCCATAGTGGGACCATTTTCTATGATGCAATGTTTGTATTATTGTTATTATTTCCGAGCACATCCAAACTGGAAGGGTACATGCAGTGACCGATGAGAGACTCGCATTTCTTCGTTATTGCAGCTTCGGTGTGTGTCGGCGTTAGACGACTCCTACCGTGCTCATCTCTCGCGATAGGACTGATCTCTTTTCTGAAAAGGGAATATTTGTAATCACCTTTTTGGGAAAAGGAAACGGTAAAGCGATATCTTGCCATGTTAAGAGACTGGGACAGGGGGGACGGGCAGCACTGGCTCAAAGCCGAAGTCCTCCCGGTCCCAGCCTCGTGAACCTTGTAGCCTGATGGAGGCTCTAGCAGTGGCGCCAAGCTGTGACGGGCATATCCGCGTTGCATACCAGTTTATAGCGCTGTGTGTTAACGGGGTTGCTGTTCGCCTATAGGTTTCTTTCGCAGGATTTTATTTTTTATTTTTAAATAGTAATGAAGAAATAAAAAAGAAAAATCTCACTTGTACGAGTGTTTATCATTTATATTTTAGAATATTTGCTTATGAGGAGATATGTAGCTATATATACTGTGTGTGTGAGTGTACCACAAAACCAGTCATAGGGTCAGTTTTTTAAAATTGAGATTTATACATCACCTAAAAGCTGAATAAATAAGCTCTCCATTGATGTATGGTTTGTTAGGATATGACGATATTTGGTCGAGATACAACTATTTGAAAATCTTGAGTGAGGTGCAAAAAAAATCAAAATATTGAGAAAATCGCCTTTAAAGTTGTCCAAATGAAGTCCTTGCATATTACTAATCAAAAATTAAGTTTTGATATGTTTACGGTAGTAAATTTACAAAATATCTTCATGGAACATGATCTTTACTTAATATCCTAATTATTTTTGGCATAAAAGAAAAATCGATCATTTTGAACCCATACAATGTATTGTTGGCTATTGCTGCAAATATACCTGAGCTACTTATGACTGGTTTTGTGCTCCAGGGTCACATAATACACATACAGTGGTGGCCAAAATGATTAGATATTTTCACCAGCTAAAAAAATGGTTTTAAGTCAGCTATTTTTATCTTTTGTAGTGTCAGTAACTAAGAAATATAGTAGCTTTGCAGGTAGGACAGACTGATGATGATCAGATCAGATCTCTGTGGAGCACTGGCTGTTAGTCAGTTATGTCTATCTTTTGCTGTATCAGTAGGAAATATCAGTTTACATTCCTAAACATTCATTTTGCCATTAATTGTAATAATCCAGTGAGATTTGTGTTTGCACAAGGAGTCTGATAACAGCCAGTGCTCCACACACAGATCTGATCTGATCATCATCAGTCTGTCCTACCTGCAAAGCTACTATATTTCTTAGTTACTGACACTACAAAAGATAAAAATAGCTGACTTAAAACCATTTTTTTAGCTGGTGAAAATACTAGTTTTCTAAGACTTTTGGCCACCACTGTATATAATTAAAATGGTATATCCTAGTTAACATGGTCACATAGAGGGTGCAGAAAAAGTTAGTGATTAATTTTGTCAGAGAATCAAAGGGGATCCCTTGCCATTGTTTAATGAGTTTGAATGAGTATTTACAGCCTTGACTTGAATCATTGATGCTAAAGTTTTTCCATTATTCACGTACAAACGTATGCATTATTTAATCACGCATCCTCTCGTGTTTCTGCCCCTGACCCCCATCGCACATCAAGGTTATTAGGACACCGTGTTGGGCCACTTTAGTTTGCAGTGAAGGTGAGCACGTTGGCATAACTTTAGCAGTGAGATATGGCACGTTCACTCAGATGTAACAATTGTACCCTTTATTTATTTAATTATTTATTTATTCTTCAAGAAGTAAAACAAAAATAAATGTCAGAAAGCTAGGCACTGTCTGTCAGTCTCAGTCAAGATTCAGTGGTATTTAATTTTTTATGGGCATACAATAAATGACGACTGAGGCTGCCATTCTGTTGGTATTTAATAACATATCGATCTATACGTCTATAAACATTGTAAATAGTGACATTTTTCATTTTGGGCGTGCTGTTCCTTTAAGTTGCTATATTAGGCGGCCCGATTTAAAATGGTTCAAGTGTCATAATAAGGTAAACGTTGAAATCAGTTCGTAATCCGCGCACAGGTTCCGGGGATACGGTAGTAATTGATTATGTAATAAATGTATTGGATGAGACTTGAGGCGGGGTGGTATTGACGACATATTTCTAAATTTAGACAATAGTGCGTAATTCAATCGCATTGGAGCTTCATCAAAGGTAAAAAGGAAAATAATACAAGGGTAATACAAGGACAGTCGAGGTTTAGGCCTAATGCGTGTTGGATTATGACCAAATGTGACAGCTGCATTTCTGAGCGCACGAAGAGTCGGATCTTTTTAATAATTATTGAACCGATTCACTTAACCCGTTCATAAAATACATGATAAACTACATATAACAAGGTCTGGAAATGTTTCTATGACATTTTATCGAAGCAAATGGAAAACAATTAATTGTAATACATTTAAAAATACCTTCTTTATTACCAAGCAAAAGCAGATGGTTAATTATTTTTGTACAATTTAGGCTAATGTAAATTAATGTTCTAATTTTTTTTTTAGCTGAATCCTGTCTTCAGCCAACTGAACTGACACAAAATAAATAATAATAAACAACATGTAGGCTAGGCCTACTACATACATGCAACTTTGTGGAGTGTTTTGGAGCGTGCATTAGTTCTTTTTATATGATTACCATAGACTGTATAATAACAGATGAGTACGTTACGACGTAAAAGAATCGCTGATTTTTTTTAACCGGTTCTTTGAAACATGTTTGAAAGAGCCGATTCGCGGAAGAGAGTCTTCCCATCACTAGTGCGCTGCGCATCTTGGTGTGGAGCCGGACTGAATAACTGAGAAATCAGACTGTTGTTATTGACTACCACGTTTTTCTGTATATTTAGTGGAGGAAAGGAATAAAACAATAACTTTTCAACGACTCGATGTACGCATTCAATGTACTACTAGTAGTAGCCTACAGTTTTAATTTCCCCTTGGCAAAGACAGTAAGTTCTCCTCTACTTTCTTGTATCTGTGTTATTGCGTGTGTGAGAGTGAAAAAAAAAAAGAAATTGAGTCGCATGGTTTTAAGGCGATTAAATTCTTCCGACAGACATTTCAGCTGCACTGCAAATATTCTGCTCATCTGTAAAAGTCTGTGTTGCTGTCTCGACACAGAAACATCTAATAGAAACTGTATGCGTTTATCACAGGGATCTGGTTCCTCTCCCGTAGAAAGCTGAGGATCGGTTAATCGCCGCATGCAGAGTCCTGGACAACAATTTGGCGCTCTGCAGAGCTCCTGTTAGCTCTCTTGAAGCTGTCATCACATCATGTTGATGCTGTCCATCGCGTTGTTTTTGCTCTTTCTGTCTCCATCGAGGAGCTCAAGACTGTGTAGTCACCTCTGCCGGTGCTATGAACACTCAGACCTGGTGGACTGCCACGCCAGAGGTTTTGAGGATGTCCCACATGGACTTCCCCGTGGCACCTGGCTCCTAGACCTGGGAGGAAACAAGCTCAAGGAGATCCGGAGCCGAGCTTTTGCTGGCCTTTGGTCTTTGCGTATTCTAGTGCTCTCAGACTGCATCATCCAGGCTCTTCAAACACAGGTAAGATCACTTAGGCTATTCCAGGGGTGCACAATCCTGTGTCCTGGAGATCTACCTTCCTTGCAAAGTTACCTAATCAAAGTATCCTAACCAAATGCGCCTGAACCAGCAATTTAAAGGGATAGTTCACCTAAAAATATGAATATTTGCTGAAAAAATTAGTTTTTTCTTCATCGGAACAGATTTGTAGAAATTTAGCATTACATCAATTGTTCACCAGTGGATCCTCTGCAGTGAATGGGTGCCGTCAGACTGAGAGTCCAAACAGCTGATAAAAACATCACAATAATCCACAAGTAATCCGCACCACTCGATTCCATGTTATGTGAAGCAAAAAACTGTGTGTTTGTAAGAAACAAATCCATCATGAAGATGATTTTAACTTCAGATATGAGTCCTCTATCCATAATATTGCTTTCTCCTGGGGAAAAAAAAGTTATCTTTTTTGAATTAGGAGAGAAATATGCACAGATCAAGCACTGTTTACAAGTGAAAACTGTCTAAAGCAGCTCTAAACAAATTTGATGGATTTTGAGAGGACAAGGGATGGACTATTGCACTGGAGAAAGCGTTATTATGGATTATGGACTATTTTGGATGATGGATTAGGGTCGTGTGGGTTATTTTATCCGCTGTTTGGACTCTAATTTTTACGGCACCCATTCACTGCAGAGGATCCATTGCTGAGCAACTGATGTAATGCTAAATTTATCCAAATCTGTTCCAATGAAGAAACAAACTCATCTACATTGTTGAAGGCCTGAGGGTGAGTAATTTTTGGTAAATTAATTAGTAAATTTTAAATAAATGTTTTAGTAAAGTAGTTCATTTTAGAGTGAACTATTACTTTAAGAGAGAGTTGGCAATGCAGGAACTCTGCAGGAAGTTAGATCTCAACAGAATTGGACACATCTGATTTCTTCAATCCACATATCTTATTTTGGATGATGGATTAGGGTCGTGTGGATTTTTGTGATGTTTTTATCAGCTGTTTGGACTCTAATTTTGACGGCACCCATTCACTGCGGAGGATCCACTGGTAAACAAGCGATGTAATGCTAAATTTCTCCAAATCTCTTCTGATGAAGAAACAAACTCATCTAAATTTTTGATGACCTGAGGATGAGTAATTTTTTGTATCATAATTAGTAAATAGTAGTTAATTTTTGGGTGAACTATTCCTTTAAGATCTTTAGAAACACTTGATAACAGACAAGGTTGTTGGCACTGAACTCTGCAGAACGTTATATCTCCAGGAACAGGACTGGACACCCCTGATTTATTCAATCCACATAGCTTAGTTTTGTCAATTTGGAGTTGCCCTGTGAATATAGTTCTGAGTTATGAGTTGAACTTGAAGATATATGGATTACCCAAATGTCTGTTTTCCCACACAGGCTTTCTTCTCTCTCTCCTTCCTGGAGAAGCTAGACATGAGCCGTAATAACCTCACTCAGATCCCTCCTAACTTCTCAGAGAGCCTGGCTGCCCTGCGTGAGCTGCGTCTGGACCACAATGCACTGGTGCTGTTGAAACCTCCAGGTCTTGAGCATCTGGAGAACCTTGAGAAGCTGGACCTCAGCCACAATTGCATCCGATCTCTTGAGCCAGGTGCGTTCCGTGGCCTGTCCCGCCTGCGCCACCTTTACCTCCAAGGGAACCTCCTGGGTGTTGTGCGAGACGGATCCCTCACCATGCTGCCTGCCCTGGAAGTCCTGCTCCTGGGCAACAACAACATCTCTAGGATCGAGGTCAATGCACTAGCACCGTTGCGCAGTCTGTCTCGGTTGGGTTTGGAGGGGAATCATCTGGAGCACCTGAACTTCAAGACGTTCCTGAGCTTGCACACGGCTGCTACGCACCTGCAGTTGGCTGGGAACCCCTGGAACTGTGACTGCGACCTGCACCGTGTCTTCAGCAAGCTGCTCAGCGTGCGGCACCTGCACGTGGATGACTATCGCAATGTAACTTGTCGGGAGCCTTGGCAGCTCGCCGGAGCTTCTTTGGCTTGGGTGGACAGCCAGTTGTGTGTGGCTGAGACCGTTACTGTGTTAGTCATCACCGCTACTGTGATTGTGACCGTGTTTGGTGCCTTGGTCATGGCGGAGAGAAAACGCAAGAAACTAAAATACTGGGAACAGAATGAGGAGGAACCGCAAGAGCAGTAAGGCGATTTTGCATGAGGTTAGGACACTTCTTTTCTCTTCTGGACTATGAAAACACAGATAAAATGTCCTGCTTTGACCCTTTTCCCCAACAAAGAGTAGGTACACAAATTCAAGCAAGAAGCTGGACTTGATACAATGAATTGAGTCGATGTGGTGATGGAAATTGAGACTCTTAAGATGCAATTCGCAAACATTGAACAAAAGTATTTGGTAACTTAGATCTGATAAAGTTTTGTAATCTAGGATGTGTTCAGATTAGAATCTGTGCTAGATAACCAATTAGTTGTGTTATAGATTATAATACTGTGCAGCAGCTTCATCTCTTTGCCACTTGCAAACTCATGTTAAAAGCTAAACTTTCAACTCTTACACTATTGTTCAAAAAGTTTTAGAACTTTTTTTTATTTAGTACTTTTACTAATACTTTTATTCAGCAAGGATGTATTAACTTGATAAAAAATGACAGTAAAGGCATGCTGTTGTTGAACTTTCTTTTCATCAAAGAATCATGAAACAAATGTATGCACAGTTGTTTTCAACATTGATGATAATACATGTTTCTTGAGCATCAAATCATCATATTAGATTGATTTCTGAAGGATCATGTGACACTGAAGACTGGAGTAATGATGCTGAAAATTCAGCTTAGCATCACAGGAACAGATTACATTTAAAAATATATTTGAGTGGAAAACGGCTGTTTTAAATTGTAAATATATTTTACTGTATTATTGTTTTTACTGTATTTTTCATCAGATAAATGCAGCTTTGGTGAGCAGAAGAGACTTCTTTCAAAAACAATTAAAAAACATTTGCATAAAATTGCACGATAATTATTTTATATTTTATTTCATTTTTATGATTTTATTATTTTTTATATTATTTTATTTTAATAGTTTCCCTTTCCTGTGATCAGTTTTTTGTCTTCTAACATTTCTTTTTTTTACATAACAATAACAAATGCTTTTCCCTTCAGTTGTGATCTTGATGTTTTTATATAGTTTCAAAAGAAAATGAATGCATGTCAATAATTATGTTCCTTAGTACAATAAAAACAACGTATGTCCTACGCTTTCTGCCAGCAAAACTCTATCTTGTGTCCTTATGTGCTCAAAACAGCCTGTTAAATTAATTTCCTTCTGGTTGGCCGTAAAGCCTCAAAGCCCAAATCTCTGCAGCTGCTGTCAAAGGATTACACATCAATTAATGCGCATGGTTCCTGCTCCAGCACCCTGATTGAACTTTCAAATCATAATTTAATGATAGATTTAGTTTGGGGAACTCCTCCAGGTCATTACATTGATCTGTATTAAAACAAAATATGGACAAAATAAGACTTGTATCTGCAGTTGCTTTGCTGTGGCACAGGCTGGGCTTTAAACCTCTGGAGTTTAAGCAGATTTGTGTGGAGAATTTTGTGGACGGAGAAAATGAAGAAATCCAGGTCAGTGAGTGTTTGGCGCCATATGGAGCTCTCACTGACAGCATCAGCTTACCAAACCGGGGACTGGCATATCTTTTTCTTCAGGGAAATACCAGCTTTCAAGTTGAATTCACATGGCCTAAATAAGACTCATTTTGCTCCTTTCTGTCTGACATAGCCTATATGAATGGATACGCTCTAATGTCTGAGCAAATAATGTAATAGGTTGTGAACCAACAAACTGGACAGCTGCAAACCAAAAACAATCTTATGTTGTTGAACACTTGTCAATATTTGCTGCTTAGAACAAATAGCCAATACAGATAATCAAATCATTTACAGTTAGCATTATGGTCCATAAAATAACATGTTGACATCAATAAAAATCAAACCAGGTGTGTTTTTGCAGTAGAGGTTTGAATGGTTAGGGATTGACTTAAGCATCTGTAACCTAACACAAAAGAACCTCATGAAACTGAAAAACTATCCTGATCTTAGAAGATTTACATAATATGCAAGTATCAGACTGTCCCAGAGAATTAATTACAATTTATTTGTTTATATCATTATTTTTCCCCAGACTGGTTTCAAAATAATATGAATTGTATCCTTTGCTTATTTGATGACTCAGGAAATATTCTCTTTTATGAGCAATTCATGGCATACCATAGTTTCCAGATTCCTCCAAAAGAGTTTAATAAGGTGGATAAAGCAATTTCACCTGGATTAATTCACCTTGTTAAGTCATTCTATATTTAATCCAAGGAGCAGTTACTACAGTCTGCTTTGCTCTTGGAAGGCGTAGATCTGTTAGATAAGAAATGTAATAATAGGCATGTGCGCCAAATTTTTCAGTTTAAAAGGAAATTTTCTTCAAGAAAAAAGTTCTACTGGAGGTCCTTGGTTGATGATATAGACTGGAAAAGAACCTGGCTTTTACCTGGGAAATATATTTCCAATAAGGCAAAGGAAACACATTTTAACACATTTTAAAATTTTACATAAAATATATCCTGTCAATTCTAATGTTTCTAAATATTTGGACATAGACAGCTCGTGTTCTTTTTGCAGACAAGCAGAGGAGACATTGGCACATTTGTTTTTTTTAAATTGCCTTATATCCAAGCAATTTTGGTCTGAGGTTCTCATATATTTGATAATGCCAATGTTGTACACTCCTTTAGTTTAAAATATATTATTTGTTTGTTATAACAATACTAAAAATAAACCCCTGGAACATACTATATATATATATTTTTTTTTTTTATATGGTAAATTTTTCATTCACAAACACAAATTCGCAAATAGTTCCGCATCCTATTCCCTTTTTAAAATTGAATTAAACTCACTTCTAAAATGATCTTGATCACTTCATCTAATAAAGAATTAAAAAAAACTAAGATTCTTGAAATAATAGAGAAGTAGCCTATTTAAAGAAAATCCATGAATTTAGATGCTTTCCTTGTGTATGATTGTTTGAATCTCATTGAAATGTTTCTGTCATTCAAAATCTGTTAAGAGGTTTTTATTTTTATTTATTTATTTATTTTTAACCATTTTTAATTTATTATGTGTATGGCATTTGTGTTTGATAAATATGCTTCATTTATAACTATTGGTCATTATTTTATGGATTTGTGTGTGATCCCTTGGCAATGTTTTTTTTGAATTGACTGTTTAAGCAATAAAAAGCAAAAATACAAATAAAATAAAATAATCATCATATTAGAATTGATGAATATTCATGTCTGCTCCGCCCACTGAAACCGAAAATATCAGAAACCAAAAATCTCGTAACACCTGTTTGGATGTAGCTACACCGCAGGCCGCAGCCAGACGCTCCTCACTCTCTCTCAGCGGCTCTGCTCATGGCCAAAGTCAATAGCGGTTCGTCCGGTTGCAGGGCCGTGGTCATGGCTGGTCAGTTTTGGACGAGACCGCCAGCCCTGAGGCCGCAGAGGAGCGCTCAGCATCAGCGGAGACTAGCCTCAGTGAACCAGCGCATGAGGGCATCCAGCGCCGCGGGACACGGGGGCAAAAACTCGGCGTGGAGCCAGCAGAAGCTCCCCAACTACGCCTGGTCCAACCGCACGCTGATCTACAGAGATGTGAAGGCTTTTCTCAGTGAAATTGGAGGAGATCCACGGGAGGCTCGCTACTGGTTAACACACTTCCAGAGCGCCGGTTCATTTCCAGCGTTTGCGGTTCTGGAGGTGCGTGTCCTGCGACCAGAGTGAGGCTGATGATACACTTTTTGAGCAATGTTGCCGGGCAACTTTGGTTAATGTTGCTGTCAACGAGCAACAAGGTGAGACACAGGGCCCACGACTGATCTGAAGTATCCAGATAGAAATTTGTTACCCATTCTCAGTAGGAAAGTGCCCAAGCACCATTGCTCAAAAAAAAGTTGCCCGGAAAAATTGCTCAAAATGTGCCCATTGTATGTTCAGACTGAGAGACGAACGCAATTTAGATAAATGACTAAATAGCCTTAATTTTAATAATGTCAGTTATGTTTTATACGTTTTTTATAAAACGTATTTTATTTTATGGTATTTAATACAAATAGGCTATATGCGCGCGCGCGCGCGTGTGTGTGTGTGTGTGCATACACACATACACACACACATATTTATATATATGTATATATATATATATATATATATATATATATATAAATATTTGATAAATTTACGTTTACATTTAAATACATTGAAGATGTTAAAATGTAAGATAGATATTTTAATGTTAGTTATACTTTTTTATATATCCATCCTGATATATTCAACCTACTTTGTTTAATAGCTTATAAAATAACATTTTAATGTGTTTATAATACTATCTCATGTGTTGTTATAACTTTATATACTATGAATGTATATTAGTTTTATTAAAATGAATTTAAATTCATATAAATATATCAATATTAAGTCTAATTGTTTTAAAGTGGCATATTTGTACATTGTAACCAGGATTAATCAGAAGCTGAATTTGAACATTTTATGTGAAGACTCTGCTGACTGTTCATCCAGGCTGCTGCTCAAATTGTGCATGAGTGTACAAATCCTTTCTGTCATCCGTTCTTGGTTTGTTTACTCTGTAGACAATTGAGCCTTTTTGTGTTTCAGGGTTCACTGGTCAAACAAAATTAACTAATTAGGTAGGCTACACTGCAGATATGACCTCTTAATAGCAGAGTCTTTCTGACTTTGTAGTCTAAATGATTAAAAAAAAACTGTTCCTTGGGGTCATGACATTTCAAATATTAAAATGTATTTACACTCTGAAAAAAAAAGTTTGATGCAGAAAAAATAACACTTTGAATTAAACACAATTTTAAGTAGAAAAATTGATATAGTATTTTCCTTAAAACATTACTTCAATAATCGTTGTTTTTTACAACTTCAAAAATGCATTGCTACCGTGTATATATCTTATACTTTTATTTATATTAAAATTACATTATTTTTATGTAGAGTCTGAAGCTGATTTTTGCTTTGTCTGCAGGTTGACACTTCAGTGTTTGATAGCCATGAGATGGTTCAGAGTCTGGCCTTTGGGCTCTCGTTCTTGCAGCGGATGGATATGAAGCTTGTGGTGGTGATGGGATTGCCTCCTGAGATGGAGGAAGAGGACTGCACCAAAACCGAGACTAAACCCTCCCTCGCCAGGACTACGATGGTGAAACACTGTCAGGCTTTAACAGAAGCACTTCAGCACAACTCAGCCAATGTGATGCTCAGAGGCCCTCTTACAACTGCAGCACGCTCGGGATGAGAGCAGGTTTAGCAGCCACTTCAACCGAGTGATAATGGGCCGATAATGGCATCTCCTATCTCTCTCACTGTGTCTGTGTGTTGTCTGTCTGCGTATATCAGCAGTGGTCCCTCAGTTGTCGTGGACTCGGCTCTTCTGCAGTGGACTCTGGACTGCAGAGTGATTCCTCTGGTCTGTCCGGTGGGCCGCGATGCAGCCGGCTGCTCTTCTGTGCTCAGTCCGATCCAGGTCACAGCAGCCATCTCGCAGTCACTGCAGCCTCTGAAAGTCATATTCCTGAACAGCTCAGGGGGTATCCGCAACCAAAACCACAAGGTAGGGCGAAGATGTGATAATGACTAACAGAAAGCATTGTACTATTTAATTTTATTAATGTGTGTGTGTGTGTGTGTGTGTGTACCTGGTATTTATCACGTTATGGGGACCAAATGTCCCCAAAAGGATAGTAATACTAGTCAATTTTGACCTTGTGGGGACATTTTTTAGGTCCCCATGAGGAAACAAGCTTATAAATCATACAGAATGAAATTTTTTGAACATCTAAAAATGCAGAAAGTTTCCAGTGAGGGGTAGGTTTAGGTGTAGGGCGATAGAAAATATAGTTTGTACAGTATAAAAACCATTACGCCTGTGGAATGTTCCCATAAAACATGGAAACACAGCATGTGTGTGTGTGTATTTGTGTGTACGTGTACATGCTACATTGTGGGGACCAAATGTCTCCACAAGGATAGTAAAACCTGAAATTTTTGACATTGTGGGGACCGGTGAGGGAAAAAAGTTCTTAAAAATAGTAAATTATGTTTATCTGAAAGTGTAACAATGCAAACAGGTTTTCTGTAAGGGGTAGGTTTAGGGTTAGGGGATAGAAAATATTATTTGGTCAGTATAAAAATAATAGAAGTCTATGGAAAGTCCCCACAATTCACAGAAACAAGTGTGTGTGTGTGTGTTTGTTGAGGCCCGGGGTGTAAAGTTTATCTGCACTATCTGCCCTCTGTTACATACTACCATTTTAAAGTTTGAGGTCAGTTACTGTTCTTTTCAAGTTTCTATTCATCCAAAAAAAAAGGTTTCAGGGTTTCCAATAAAATAGTGAGCAGCACAACTGTTTTCAACATTGATAATAATAAGAAATGTTTATTGGGCAGCAAATCAGCATATTAGAAGGATTTCTGGAGGATCATGTGGCACTGATATATTAAAATAGATATTTTAAATTGCAATAATATTTCACAACATTACTTTTTACTGTATTTTTGATTGAATAGCCTAAATGCAGACTTGGTGGGCATAAGGCGCTTCTTTCAAAAACATAAAAAAAACACACCTTCTCTCTCTCTCTCTCTCTCTCTCTCTCTCTCTCTCTCTCAAGTTCAAGTTCAAGTTGCTTTATTTGCATGACATTTGTATTATAGTATCGCCAAAGCATTTTAAGTATATACAAATACAGAATATAATACCACCAAAGTAATAAAGGAGACAAATAAGAAGAAAAAACAAAATGTACTGCATACACAATGTAAAAATATATACAATGAAGAATATGTAAAATAAAGCAAATTAATACAATGGATTAACCATTTCATATGGTGTTTATGGTGTATACATATTTTGCAGCTAGTTTGGCTGCCATGTCATCCTCTCCAAGTGTATAGCGGAGTTTCTCTGAGTCATTTAGAGTAACGAATGAAACATTCAATGCTGCAAATTGCAGAAGAACTATTTCCCTTGTAGTGGTGTACTTGGGACAGACAAGAAGAAAGTGTTTCTCATCCTCTATTTGATTCAGGTCACAGTGTTTGCATGGTCGCTGTTCTCTCGGTATCCAGGATTTTTTATGTCTTCCTTTTATCTAAGTCGGGGTCACTGAGTCGATATTTTGAAAGAATTTGTCTTTCTTTTAATTGTTTAATTGATAAGTAATTTGCCAATTTGGTGCTTCTACTTAGGGCCGAATAACACTGGAGTTTGGTTTGGAGGTCAAATTAATTTTTTAATTTTTCATTATAATTATCCTTTAGATTTTTGTCAATTTCTTTGTGAATGTTAGGGTTGTGGTTGGAATCAGACTGAGCTTGAGTTTCATTCATTAGTTTAAGCACGAGTGTATTTAGAGAATAAGACACTGTGAGGCTTTCATTGGCAAGAAGGGCTTTATATTGACTAGATTCAGTGTCAGATTGACTGCCAGAATTGTATTTCAATGTTTAAAGGGTGTAAGCCCAGTTCAGCCCTGCAGGCATTGTTATGTTTTAGTTGGCCAAACCGTGATTTTATGGCATCAAATGCCCTCCGGTCCTTCTCGTTCAAGGCCTTCACAGCTAGACTGAAGCCCCGTGATGCCGAGAGCTCAATGCCCAGGTAAGTATAGCTGTATGCGGATGACCCCTATCTTTTGCTGTAGTGTGTCAGTAGAAAAATATCAATTTACATTTCCAAAACATTCCTTTTGCCATTAATTGCAATAATCCAGTGAGATTTTTGTATACACAAGGAGTCTGACTGCAGCCAGTGCTCCACACACACATCTGATCTGATCATCATCCAGTCCATCTGCAATTATTGTTATATATTTGATAATAATAAGCCTATTCAGTCATAGTAACCAATTATGTATCTCAACAGAGATATATATTTTTAAATTGTCATGTTACAATACGTGTAACAATACTTTCCAAATTAATTTCCCAAATAAAAATGTGGTTCAACATAAGAGTTCAGAAATAGGTTCAAGGAATGATTATTAACAGTTGCTTCAATAGCGTGAGATGAACACAAGGTGGTAGTATTGCAATTTGTTGCTACAAAGTATATACGTGAATAAAATTTCTGTATGATATGCGTAAGCTTCAAAAGAACAGTCGGTGCCAACAAAAGAACAGCAGGCCTACTTGCGTTCCCAAGCAGGCTTCTTTTAAGTTTACATGAATTAACATAAACATGTGAATGAGTAAACATATGATAAACTTGAAAAATCGTGGGCTTGTGAAATGGTTCCTTATTAAATTCGTGCTTTGTTTGTTCAGGTGTTGGGTTTGGTGTCATTGCCGGGAGATCTGCCAGGTCTGAGTTCTGCGAAATGGCTGAGGGATGTGGAGCACAGACGCGTCAGTGCCATAGCGCAGCTGCTCAACCTGCTTCCGGCGGAGACCTCGGCTGTCCTCACCTCGGCGGACACGCTTCTCACTGAGCTCTTCAGCCACAAGGGTGAGAGGGGAGATAAAACACGCACCTGCTAAGACAAATACGACTTATCAAAGTCAAAGGAGATCGCACGCAGACCGGCGAGGAACATCATTTGTTAGCACACATACGACCCACTACAGCTGCTGGACTAATAACGATTTAGAGTTAGTGTTACAGAATAGGCCTATCGGGCCAATAAAAAGAACAAAGTTTTTCCTTATTTATATTTCTTAAACCCATAATGTGTGTTTTTTTATTCGTGTTTCAGGCTCAGGCACCCTTTTTAAAAATGGAGATCCCATTCACAGGTATGAGATTGAGTGTTTCCTTTTTAGATGTTGCCCAATCAGAAAAGAGTCGCAACTTTCCATCCGTCCACCATATGGAACCTATGGAACATTTCACATGTTTAAATGTACAACTCAATGTTTTTTTATTTCATAATCACTTCTTGTTTTTAGGGGTCATTAAATAATCAAGAATGAACAAGCAGTTTTCATTACAACAGGTGTGGGGTATCTCAGTCAGAAGTAGCCTACTGTATCATTAGACCACTGGCTATTAAACAAACATTTTAAGATGTTCACTGCTTGTATAAATAAATACAGTTATCTGTCATTATTTACTCACACCCGTGTCATCTGATATCAGTCCAGTCAAACCTAGCAAAGTTTAGCAGTGAACAACCACTTCAATTCTGGTCTGTTCTTCGTGCAAAGCTATTGTAATACTTAATATGACCGCAGTTGCAAAAATACAATTCTGTGTGGAAAAGACCTGAATAAATAATCTTCAAAATGTCCCCTTTTCAGTGGTACAAATGGGACTGGACTGACATGTGGACGAGTAAATTCTGATTTGCTTAATCATTCTTTTATTATAGTATCTCATGTGAGGATCTTCTTTCTTCACAGATACAGTAGCCTGGATGACATTGATATTGGCCGTCTCTTGGCACTGATTAACAAGTCTTTTGAGAAGAACCTGAGAGAGGATTATATAGCTTCTCTCAAGGATAGACTGCATTCCATTTACCTGTCTCAGGGGTAAGGGCATTGTTTCTGAATGGCAAGCCTTAATTATCCAGTATAGCCAAAGAAAAACAACCTGACACATCTTGCTCCATGTAACCAGAATGTTGAGTCATTGGACATGAGAATAAATAAATAGAAAAATTAATATTTTCATAATTCATTGAATTAATATTTGAATATTTGAACATAGTTACATTATTGGTAATTGTATTTCCTGCTTTTAAAGCAAAGCTTGTGATCACATTATCACAAGTTATCATTAAATTATTTGGCTGAAGATTAGCTACGACTAATGAAATGAATAATTTTAAAGGGTTAGTTCGCCCAAAAATGAAAAATTCTGTCATTAATTACTCACCTTCATGTCGTTCCAAACCCGTAAGACCTCCGTTCATCTTCGGAACACAAATTAAGATATTTTTGATGAATTCTGAGAGCTGTCTGACTCTGACCCTCCCATAGACAGCAAGGGTCCTTACATGATCAAGGTCCAGAAATGCAGCAAGGAGATCGGTAAAATAATCCATGTGACATCAGAGGTTTAACCGTAATTTTACGAAACTACGAGAATACTTTTTGTACGCAAAAGAAAAAAAAAGACATTATTCAACAATTTGTCTCCTCCACGTCACCCTAGAGCTATTTTGGAGAGTATCCACTGAACGCAAACAGCGTATATTGTTCTGTTTCAGCTGCGCCACACGGATACATTTTCTACGTTGTTTGTGCTTTGATTTGAACGAAAACAACGTATCCGTGTGGTGCGGCTGACACAAAACAATATACGCTCACGCTGTTTGCGTTCAGCTGATACTCTCCAAAATAGCTCTAGGGTGATGCGGAGGAGACAAATTGTTGAATAAAGTCTTTTTTTTTTCTTTTTCTTTTGCGCACAAAAAGTATTCTTGTAGCTTCGTACAATTACGGTTGAACCCCTGATGTCACATGGATTATTTTACAGATCTCCTTGCAACGTCTCTTTGGGAACTTGGGAACATTTCAGTTGTATCACTGTCTATGCAGGGTCAGACAGCTCTCAGATTCCATCAAAAATATCTTAATTTGTGATCCGAAGATGAACGAAAGTGTTACGGGTTTAGAACGACATGAGGGTGAGTAATAAATGACAGAATTTTCATTTTTGGGTGAACTATCCCTTTAAATAATAAATTACTAATATTTTTAGATCTGGAAGAAAAAAAAGTTATAAATTTGTATTTCATAATTGTCTCATGTAAAATCACATTCAGCTTATTCATGTGACATACCAGATTAAATACAACCCTTGACACAGCATACCAAACACGATCTATTGCATGCCACAGTTGTGTTGTTTTTGAATGGTATTTGACCCTTGTGGTGAACCACAAACATAATTTTAAAGCATTCTGCTCCCGGAATATGAGTTTATTAAATCTGCTCTTGCATTTTGTTGCAGGTACAGCGCAGCTGCTATAATCACCACAGAGCCTGTGAACAGCGGCACTCCGTACCTGGACAAATTTGTGGTCAGCAGCAGTAAACAAGGCCAAGGAACCGGTCAGATCTTGTGGGAGTGTATTCGTCAGGACTTGGGCAAGCTCTTCTGGAGATCCCGCGCTACAAACCGCATCAATCCCTGGTGTGTCTTCTCTTTCACATTGCCCTGTTGTGATTCTCAGCCTTTGCCCATCTCATTCTACTTTAAAATCCTCAGGTACTTCAAGCACTGTGATGGCAGTTTCGTAAATGGTCACTGGATTGTATTCTGGCTCTGCCTTTCTGACATCCGTGAGTCTTACGAGCTGGTGGAGTACGCCAAGTGCCTTCCTGACTCCTTCTGCTCTCACATCGCAACAGAAGCAAAACCACTTCAGCAACCTCAAGGGTCATGAAAACAATACTCGCCTCACACACTGTATCGGGCTTCATATCTTAGCTGTGTCTTTAAGTACTATTGGTAACAATGCCAATGTCATTCCAAACCCATAAGCCGAGTGGAACACAAAAGGCGTTTTGAGGTTTTGGAGTCATCGTCCCATGGACCTCATCTATATTTATACTTCTTTTATGTTCTACTCAAGAATGTGATTCATGTGGGTTTGGAGTGACAGAAGTTTTATTTAGCCCATTTAAAAAAACTCCCCATAAATCACAATTATGACGTCACAATTGGAATATCAATGCCACGATGTAATCTATTTTATTCACGTTCAGTGGAACACAACAGTGGAATTCATTATGTCGAGAAAAAGAAATGTGAGTCTAAAGTGAAAACTATAGAGAAAAATGCTGGAGCTCACAGAAAGGGTGAGGCAGTGGCATTTGAATTTCACACCTGCATTACTTTGATTTGAATGGACAGTGATTCGTCTCTAGGAACATTTTGTTCAGTTTGCCTCACCATGTTGTGATTGACAGGATGCTAGAATGAAGACTGTGTTCTAATATACAAGGTGGTGTTTTTACAGTAGGTCATAAACATGCATTCACCTAGTTTGTGCTGGGAAATAAATTATTATAAATTCAAACAATTAATCATATCTTATCATATTTGTAGTTATTTTTGTTGTGTGAGACACACCCTTCAGTTTGGCAATCAAACTGAGTCAAAACAGTAATGAAAACTTCTATGGGCTATTCAAAAGTGTCTGGGAGATACTGAACCAACTTGTGCGGGTTTGGAGAATCGCTATTTCACCAGTGTGAGTATTGAGCAGCCTATGTTTCCTGGTGGATTAAAGGTGAGTTCAATATCAGAATTATATTCAATGACTAGTGTAGCTGTCGCAGAAAAGGTTGTATTTTCTTCACATACTTAAACTTTAAAGCTGAAGCTCAGTTTATCAGATCTAAACTGAAAGAAGAGTGCTCTAAATCCGAGCTAGACGATATGATGGTGACTGCAGAGAAACGTGAAGCAGAGTTAAAACAAATATATGAGAGTATTCGTGCGTTGAACGTCCCATTTCAAGATATAAGAAGGAGAATGGATAGCTGCACTTCAGTTACTAGTACTCAATACCATCGCTAGGATCAAAAGACTTGTGAGCAGAGACAGGTCAATGTTCATTGGTGTAGAAGAGAGAGAGAAAGCAGCTCACGTGCTCATCAAGGCAGCACAAAGAGAAGCATTCGAAGAGGAATTAAAATGGCTCAGTCAAAACCCGGCTAAGCTACCAAAAGCGTGATTCTTTTAATCAGAAGAAAACCTTCAGGGGCCGTTACAACTAGCCTACCAATTACATTGTTCGTCAATATTTTATTAACAAATATATCATCAAGTCAAGTTAGTTTTCTTATATTTTGCGGTTTACACATTACCCTGGACTTTGAAATGCGGGGTTTATGATGTGGAAAATGTCAGTGTAGTGTAGTTAGTGGCTGCATTGTAGGATTTTATTTAATTTTTGACAATCTAAACGGGAGCTGGAGGCAGTCTTTGATTATTATATTTACCTATAGCTGTATAAATAACGTGACGGATCGTTTTCCTGTTAGTCAGGAGTATTTAATGCCAGTGTTGCTTTTTGCTGATAATAACCCTGTTGAAAAACCAGCATATGCTGGTTAGGTATGTTTTAGCATAAACCAGCAAAGGACCAGCTTAAACCAGCATCCCAGCGTCAAAACATACCTAACTAGCATATGCTGTTTTTTTCAACAGGGAGCTAACAGGAAGGCTATGTATTCACGTTTATAATAGGCCTAAGCTGTTATAATAGGCTACAGCAACAGCTATATTATTATAATTATATTATAATTACAGCCTATTATATAATAGGCTGTTGCTGTAGCCTACTTACACAGGCTTTATACGCGTTTCTACAGTTATGATCGTACATATTTAAAATAACATTTTCTGAGGTCGACAATATACAGGTGAAAAACGACAGTTTTACATACATATGTAACCCTGGACCAAAAAAAAAAACAGTCTTAAGTAGCACGGGTATATTTGCAATAGCCAAAAATACATTGTATGGCTCAAAATAATCGATTTTTCTTTTATGCCAAAAATCATTAGGATATTAAGTAAAGATCATGTTCCATGAAGATATTTTGTACATTTCCTACTGTGAATATATCAAAACTTAATTTTCAATTAGTAATATGCATTGCTAAGGACTTCATTTGGACAACTTTAAAGGCGATTTTCTCAATATTTTGATTTTATATTTTTTTGCAGCCTCAGATTCCAGATTTTCAAATAGTTGTATCTCGGCCAAATACTGTCCTATCCTAACAAACTATACATCCGTGGTTATTGATGAAAGCTTATTTATTCAACTTTCAGATGATGTATAAATCTCAATTAAAAAAAAATCGACCCCTATGACTGTTTTTGTGGTCCATGGTCACATATAGAAAGTAGTTACAAAAGTAAAGATATGTAAACAACACATTTGAAATGGTGAAAGAAATTCACGAACTTAACCAGAAATTTGATTACTTTAGTATATTCCCAAAACACTCCAATGCACCTGTACCAACACACTTTTTTTCCATTAATGGTTCTTTAATGTTCTTTAATGTCCCGTACGGACAACAGACAACGTCGCACCTGGAAATGTGGACTGCAGCCCTTTGGGCTGTCAAAATGGACCAGCTTAAACCAGCAAAAGGACCAGCATAAACCAGCAAAAGGACCAGCATAAAGCAGCAAAAGAACCAGCTTAAACCAGCAAAAGGACCAGCATAAACCAGCAAAGGACCAGCATAAACCAGCAAAAGGACCACCATAAACCAGCAAAAGGACCAGCATAAACCAGCAAAGGACCAGCTTAAACCAGCATCCCAGCGTCAAAACATACCTAACTAGCATATGCTGTTTTTTTCAACAGGGAGCTAACAGGAAGGCTATGTATTCACGTTTATAATAGGCCTAAGCTGTTATAATAGGCTACAGCAACAGCTATATTATTATAATTATATTATAATTACAGCCTATTATATAATAGGCTGTTGCTGTAGCCTACTTACACAGGCTTTATACGCGTTTCTACAGTTATGATCGTACATATTTAAAATAACATTTTCTGAGGTCGACAATATACAGGTGAAAAACGACAGTTTTACATACATATGTAACCCTGGACCAAAAAAAAAAACAGTCTTAAGTAGCACGGGTATATTTGCAATAGCCAAAAATACATTGTATGGCTCAAAATAATCGATTTTTCTTTTATGCCAAAAATCATTAGGATATTAAGTAAAGATCATGTTCCATGAAGATATTTTGTACATTTCCTACTGTGAATATATCAAAACTTAATTTTCAATTAGTAATATGCATTGCTAAGGACTTCATTTGGACAACTTTAAAGGCGATTTTCTCAATATTTTGATTTTATATTTTTTTGCAGCCTCAGATTCCAGATTTTCAAATAGTTGTATCTCGGCCAAATACTGTCCTATCCTAACAAACTATACATCCGTGGTTATTGATGAAAGCTTATTTATTCAACTTTCAGATGATGTATAAATCTCAATTTAAAAAAAATCGACCCCTATGACTGTTTTTGTGGTCCATGGTCACATATAGAAAGTAGTTACAAAAGTAAAGATATGTAAACAACACATTTGAAATGGTGAAAGAAATTCACGAACTTAACCAGAAATTTGATTACTTTAGTATATTCCCAAAACACTCCAATGCACCTGTACCAACACACTTTTTTTCCATTAATGGTTCTTTAATGTTCTTTAATGTCCCGTACGGACAACAGACAACGTCGCACCTGGAAATGTGGACTGCAGCCCTTTGGGCTGTCAAAATATTATGAATTATTAAACGAATTATTAAAATGATCCTATACAAAAAGTTAAAATATCAAATAAATTCAGAGACGTTAACTACATGAAAAGTAACAAAATGTATTAAAATCATTTTAATTCATAAGTCACATATAAATCCGCAGCGTAGCCTACTGCGAGACTGTCAAACCGCCAAAACATTTAATTGCATTTTACATTAACATTTGTGCAGTGCATTGAGAGTTAAAGCGTGCAGAGACAATGGGCAGAGATGTTACGAATGGTTTTATTCCTTTCGCATGCACTGAAACATAAGCAGTACGTTCACATTCTTCCACCAACTAACGGAACTGTCTGTGTTTTAGTGCATGTACAAGAATAAAACTAATGTTATGCCGGTTTATCCAATTGTTTTCTGCAGGATTAATGAAAGATCATGTCAGGTAAAAGGGAAGCAAAACATTCTGCAGATGATATTTAATGTTGTGTCCGCTGACTTTAAAGGGGTCATATGATGTGATTTAAATTTTTCCTTTCTCTTTGAAGTGTTACAAGCTCTTGGTGCATAAAGAAGATCTGTAAAGTTGCAAAGACTAAAGTCTCAAATCCAAAGAGATATTCTTTATAAAAGTTAAGAGTCAACCACGCCTACCTAAAATGGCTCGTTCTAACACGCCCCCACATGTCTACATCACGCTGTGGGAAGATTTGCATAACGCCGCCCAAATGTTCACGCAAAGAAAGAAGGCGTAACTTTTATTCTCGCTGTAGTATTGTTGCCGCCGCCGCC